ATAAACCCAGCTTGAAGGGGGGGGGGGGTCTCTTTGTTGCATGCTAGATTTCTTCATATGGGGAATTCCTCTCCCTGAAATACTAGCTTTCTTCCTGCGGGGGGATTTCTTTTCCTTCGGTGCATTCAACAAATATCTCTCCCCTCACCCAGTTGTATCAGTAGAGTGGGTGGAAGGTACTCATTGTTCTGCCCAGCAGCTACATATTTCACCTTTCATCTTCTGCAACAGAGATAATTTAGGAATTAGAACAGCTAATCATTCTTCTCTTTAGTTCTTGTCACACAAAGTTCCTCGTGGCAGGCAGCTGCCCCATAAGCAAAGGACGAGAAAGCTTTAAAACACCCTCATCTTTGAGATTAACAAAGGCAAATATTTCTATCAGATCCCCAAAATCCCTTTTTTTCCCCCCTGTAAATCAGTAGGGAATTTGGGGGCGGTAGCAAGAGACTAAACTATTTAATTAAAAGAAGGAGTGTTTCCAAGCAGAAAATTATGCCAGCAACCAACGGAATGGAGGGATGCAGAATCGCACATACCCATTTTTTTTTAAGTTTTTCATTTTGTTTTGTTACATAATAAAATATTATTTTGTGAACAGAGTGTTGTCTGGATTCCCCCTTTTAACATTCCTACAAAAAACATAATTCATTTGACATATATATTTCCATTTTTCCAATTGTATTGCTTTTCTTCTTATATTTTCCAGTTTCTACTTTTTAACATATATAATTTCCCCTTCTCTTAAAAAAATAAATCAATTGTTTCTTTTTCATCTGTTTTCCATTAACAACTAATATCTTCAGTTTCACAATTTATATAATCAGCATTTAACGTAATTATTTAACACTTTTAAAAGTCTTAATATAGTTCCCACACATCTTAATTAAAATATATTATTTACCTTGGTTACAATATTTCATTTCATTCTACAAGATCATATAATTCTACTATCCTCCTTCCTAAGTTATTCTTTTCTCTTTTTCTTCTTTTTATGCATCTTATACCTGTTCTTCTGTATTTTTCCTCTTACTTTCTGTTGAATTGTTTGGATCTCTCTCCCCCAACTTTCTCTTTCCCATCTCCCATTATTTCTCCCTTTGATTTTGGCTCGTTCCTTTTTTGGATATCGTTTTTAAAAATGTGTTTGTGTCTTCTTTGATTCATTTTTAGTGTTTTCTTTCTTTTCTTTTGTTTATGTTTGATTGTTCCTGTGGGATTTTATTTTTCTTGGAAGTTTGCATTTTAACTGCAATTTAACAGACAGACAGACAGACAGACAGATATGGGTGGATGGATGGGTAGGTGGGTGGGTGGATAGATGGATGGATGGTAGGTAGGTAGGTAGGTAGGTAGGTAGGTAGGTAGGTAGGTAGGTAGGTAGGTATGGATGATATATAGATAAATGATATAGATAGATAGATAGATAGATAGATAGATAGATAGATAGATAGATAGATAGATAGAT